TAAGGTGCTTAGAACACAGGCTGACACTTAGTAAGTTCTAGAGAAGTGTTAGTCGTGGTTATCATTCCTGCTGCGATTATTAAGAGGACGGACTGGTAGGGGAGATGGCAATAAGTAAACAAACACAGGAACAAGTAAATAAATGCCCAGTGTAGTAAGTTGATATGAAGGACATTCAGAGGGGGATCTCCTCAATGAGAGGGCTGTGGGGAGGATCTCTCTCTCTGGTGACTTTTAAGTTGGGATGTGAGAGACGAGGAGAAACCAGCCAAAAGAAGAGCAGGACAGGGGGAAAGAGTGCTCCAGGCAGAGGAAGCAGCCGATGCAAAGCTCAGAGGGAGGAAAGAGCATCGTCCATTAAAGGACCTGGAGGACAGGCCAGTGGCTGGGCTGGGCTGTGGAGGGGTCCGGATTTGGCCTGAGAGCTTGGGGGAGGCATCGATGGGTTTAAACAGAGAATAAAGAGTCTCATACATGAGCAATGGAGAGAGGACAGGCTGGATGCTGGGGGGAGAACAAAGGATATACCCCAAGAGAGATGACTACCTGCCTCCATGCAAAAACTTGTACACAAGTGTGCATAGCAGCACTATTCACAGCAGCAAAAAAAAGGAGAAACAGCCCATACGTTCATCAGCTGCTGAGTGGGTAAACAAAATGTGGTCTATCCATACGATGGGATGGTGTTTGGCCATGAAAAGGAATGAACATTGACACAGGCTACAACATAAATGAACCTTGAAAACATCATGTTAAGTAAAAGAAGCCAGGCACAAAAGCACACATATTGTATGATTCCTTTCACGGGAAATGTCCAGAACAGGCAAATCCAAGAGACAGAAAGCAGATTAGTAGTTGCCAAGGGCTGGGAGGGATGAGGGACTTAGGTGGGTGGGGTGGGTGGGAGTGATGGCTAAGAGGTATAGGGTTTCTTTGGTGGATGATGAAAATGCTCTAAAATTAATTGTAGTGATAGTTGCACAACTCCTGAATAAAACTAAAAACCTTTGAATTGTACACTTCAAGTGGGCAAACTGTGTGGTATATAAAATACATCTCAGTAAAGATGTGATCCCCAAAAAAGGCAATAAGGCTGGCACAGGGGAAGGGCTGTCATCCATCCATGGGCACAAGGGTGCACCAGGGGTGGGGACCAGGCTGGAAGGAAGCTGGGTTCTTGAGGGAGAATGGACAGAACTCAATGAGGGGTGTCCAGCCAGAGCACCTGGATGGCCCGTGGAGTCATTTACAGAAATGGCAAATCCATCAACTTCACTTGGTGTGTCTGCCATGCCAGGCTCCAGGATAGGTGCCTGGGACTTGGACCTAAATAAGCCAGTCCCTGCTCTCAAGCTCCTCCACCCCAGCCAGGGCCAAAACCAGCCACCCAGAACGTCTTTCACAACCAAAGAGTGATAGACACACATGGGAGGCCCTGAGGGTCCTCACAGATGGGACACGACTGCCAAGCAGGGCCTCAGAGGATGTCTTCAGGGCGACAAGGGCTGGCATTGCAGGTGGCAGTGACAGGGTCTGCAAAAGCTCAGGGCTAGACAGCGTGAAGAATTTCCAGGCCAAGCATCACAGCATCATTGGAGGTGGGTGTGGGCCCAGAAAGTGTGGACACGGCACCAGAAAGACAAGGAGATCCTGCCTCCAGGTGAAACGCTCGGGAGGCAAGGACTCGATTTTGTTTTTCTAACTGGCCACTTAGAAGCTTGTGCTTAAAAGGCTGTCTTGATTTCCAACAAATTGCTGTAATACACCATTATATCCTAAGTCCCAGCATCCAATCAATGTTTAATAAAATATGGGCAGTGATGGTACGTGCAGTGGATGGATTTCTGGGCCCCCGCCCAAACTTCATGCCTACCCAGAACCTCAGAATGTGACCGTATTTGGAAACAGGGTCTTGGCAGATATAATTAAGTTAAGATGAGGTCACACTGGGTTGAAGTGGGCCCTTAATCCAATGACTGGTGTCCTTATGTGCAGACAGACACACAGAGAAGAAGACCATGTGAAGACAGAGGCAGAGACTGGAGTGAGGCAGCCACAGCCAAGGAGCGCCAGCAGCCACCAGAAGCTGGAAGGGGCTAGGAAGCGTCCTCCCCTAGAGCCTCATAGGGCATATGGCCCTGCCAACACCTTCATTTTGAACTTGTACCTTCCAGGACTGTGAAAGAATAAATTTCTGTTGTTCGAAGCCATCCAATTTGTGGCAATTTCTTATGGCAGCCCTAAGAAACCGATACAGTACGAGTATCCCTGTATCACTGATACAGTGATAACACTGGCATTGTTACCACCGAAGGAGGGAAGACAAGGCCTGGCCTGGAGGCTGCACCACCCCATTTATTGGTTTAGAACTTTTCCTCAATTGGACTGAAATCAGTTACAAAATGCAGTGAGAAAAAAGCTCTCTAATGACCAGTTGCAAAAAAAAAAAAATGAAACTATGTTTGTGATTTAATATGAACTAGAAAAATAGAGGTTACAAAACTGTATAAATCCCAACTTTTAAAAATATGTAATCAATTCATTCATTCATTTAACAAACATTTATTGAGCACCTACTATGTGCCAGGCACATTTTCACTTGTATGTAACTATGCACAAGGGGAAAAACAAAGATTGGGAAAGATACAGCCCAGTCTGAGCAATGTTGATGTTTGGGTGGTGGAATTAAGGGTGACATTTTGTTTCTTATGGCTTATTGCTTGTCTACATTTTCTAAGTCATCTGCAACACACTTAAATTGCTTTTGTAAGGACACAGAGCAATAAAAGCTGTTCTATTAATGAATGAGGTTTAAACAGATCATACTCTTCATCTGCTTTTTCAGCACCACCTTGTAACTTACGCATTACTGTGGCTAGAGTCCCAGGGCCAAGGAGACCCTTTTGCGTGTCCCCCACCCCCTATGGCAGGGACCTGGAGGCCCTAGGGCAGCGATCTCCCCACCTTCCAGCCCCCCAACAAATGTCTCCAGCCCGTAGCTACCTGGTGATGCCCGGCAGTGTGATCAGCCTGCCTGCCTCGATGGCCGCATTGAAACAGTGTGCCCCGCGGGTCTCCATGGCGACAATGGGCACGTGCTGCCAGCCCACTTCCACGAGGCCAGCTACCACCCCGGCCAGAAGCCCCCCACCTCCCACTGCCAGTACCAGGGCACCTGGTGGTGTCCCCAGTGCTGCCTTCAGCTCCCACACCAGGCTGGCATGGCCTTCCCTGGGGGGCGAGAGAGAAGAGCAGGGTGAGTGGGGAATCACCAGCGGTGGGCTCCCACCCCCACATATCTATAAACCCCCTCATCGTCACTCCCCTCCACACCCACAGCAAGGAGAGGGGAGACCCTGCAGCACTTAGTTCGCTCAGCTTCCATCATTCTCTTCATTTACTTGCTCATCCACTCCCCCCGCCCAGCAACCTCCCAGGCACTTCCTTGGGCATTATCCCATTGAACCCTCACAACTTTGGAAAGAGGCAACATTAGCGTATGTGATTGAGAGAGGACCAGCATATCACTTGGAACCAGTCCTACTCAAGTTCTGGGACTGATACTCCATGTCTCTGCCACTTACTAGCTGCGTGATCTTTGGGCGAGTTGCTTGACTCCTCTGTGCCTCAGTTTCCTCACCTATAAAATGGGTATAATAACATTCACCTCTAGGGCTTTGAGGAGGATAGACAGAATAGTGCAGGAGAATCCTTTAGCCTGGTGCCTGGCCCCAAAGTATATACTCAATAAAGGGGACTTAGTAGGTATTATCATTTCCATTTTATATATGTGGAAACTGAGTCACAGGGCAGTGAGGGGCTTTGTGCAAAGTCACACAATTCACAAGTGACAGAAGTGGGGTCTGAACTCAGGTCTGTCTGTCTCTGAAGGCTCTTCTCTCCTCTGGGTCTCAGTTTCCTCTCTGTCCAATGGGAAAACCCTGACTCAGTGAGAGTCTCCCAGCTCTGAGCTCTCAGGGGGTAGGGGCACCAGGCTTACCATATCAGGGGGTGGTCAAACGGGGGGACGTTCACCCAGCCATCCCTCTTAGCCAACTCTTGTGCTCTCAGATTGGCCTCATCCCAGACCTAAAGAGAAGCCAATGCCCTCAGAAGACCCAGGAGTCAGATTGCTACAGAGGCTGGAACAGGGGCCTGAGGTCTCCTTGATGGCCCCAGGATCCAGCAGGCTAGGGAGAACCCCAAGAATGAGTCCAGGCTTGGTGTGCACACAGTGGCCTTCTGGGACAAGGACAGAAGACTCTGGGTGGACAAATGGATGCTGCGTGCTTTCCACAGTCCCTACGGGACCCGTCCTGCTGCCATGCTATGGGAGAGTGAGGGCAGACCAGCCTGGGATGCCAGGAACAGGCTCAACACCAAGGCCAGCTACATGGTGCTCACTTCTAACCAACCAGTAAGGGAGATGCCCCTCAAAACAAGCCCCAAATAGCAACTCAGTCACTGCAGGTTGTGTGCATGACAACCAGCATTCGCCGAGCTGGTGACCAGCCAGTGGAGTTCAAGCAGCCAGAGAGATGGCCCCATAAGGCCAGCCCAAGCCAATCATAGCAGGGGTGGCTTTTCTTTTCTCACTGGATTGGCATCTGTGCCAGAGATCCATGTCCAGCAGCCCACCCAGAGGTCACCTGCAGGGCGTTCCCTGGCCACAGGGCTTTGCCAGGCAGTGGGGAAGGTGAACTACAAGCATCAAGGAGTGGACACCCCAAGAACGACCCTCCGCCTGTAAAGGATGGGAGTTGGTGAGTAAATGCTGTGTCTTCCCACCCTTAGCGACACAACCCTGGGGTGTGATCTACATGGTCTCCCAGGGGGTTCCCATGGGGATTGAGCCCTAGTTGCACACACAGGTGACCTGATCATTCGCATACTGTTTGGGGGCTTTCTTCCCTTCTCTGCCTCATTTCCACACTCCCTACCAGTGCTTCCTGAAGCCACCTACCAAGTAGACTACATGTACCCCAATCCTGTCTCAGGACCTGCTTCTGGGGGAACCCAAACTAAGATAGCACTTCAGAGGGGCTCCACACCAGCTGACCTCAGCAGAAGCCGGATGCAGAAGCTAAGTGGTAAACAGCCTCCTCTCCCAAGTGAGGGGCACAGGGTCACGGGGGGGCTGGAAATAGCCTTTGTCCATCCTCTGAGATCTGCAGCACCCACTCTGTGTCCAGTCCTGTGCAAGGCGACTCGAGCAGGAGAAGCCAAAGAAATGGTCTCTGCCCACAAGGAATTTCCCATCTAGCTAAAGAGATGAGCCTCATTCTCCAGAGTTATTGAAACAAAAACTAGATTCAAAACTGGACAGCCCTTGACATCTCTCACTTGGAGAGGCGACTCGAGCAGGAGAAGCCAAAGAAATGGTCTCTGCCCACAAGGAATTTCCCATCTAGCTAAAGAGATGAGCCTCATTCTCTAGAGTTATTGAAACAAAAACTAGATTCAAAACTGGACAGCCCTTGACATCTCTCACTTGGAGGTCCACAAGCAGCCTCCTCCCTGGCTGCCTGCCTCCTGTCCCGCCCACCTCACATCTATTGCCCCAGAGCAGGCGGAGTCCCTCCCCTGCTCAAAATCCTTTGAAGGCTCCCCATTGCCCTCAGGTTGAAACACAAGTCAGCCTTCCCTACAAGCTGCGCAGCCTGATCAGGCAACTGTCCCAGTCTTGAGCTTCTCTGTGCAACATCCCTCCTTTGGATGCTGTGCCTCAGCTGGAATGCACCATGCTCACTCCTCTGCTTGGCCTTTGCCTGCACCCCTCCTCTGCTCACCATCCCTCTCTCCCTTTTCTCCACTGGGAGGACTCATATTTCTCTTTCAAGACCCAATTCTGGGGACCCTTCTCAGGAGCCTTTCCTGGATCCCCTCCCTGAGTCTGAGGCACAGCGCACTGGGAATGTGGACCACTACCCGATTCTTCACCACCCGCCCCCCTGTTGGAATCACATGTCCATGCCTTTGCCACGTGGCTTTGCTGTTCTTCCCACTGGGGGGTGCAGCACCTTTCCCTATACCATGGATGCTGGTCTCAGCCATGTGACTTGCTTTGGCCAATGGTGTGTGGCAGAAGTGACAGTGGAACAGTTGTGAGCCAAGTTCCTATGAGGCATCACGTGTTTCCTCTCAGCCCTCTTGCCATTGGTCTTGAGAAGAATGTGCCCCAGGTGGCCACTGGTCAAGGAAGATGAGGAGCACTTCTGCAGACCGTAGTCCTGCCCATAGACTGAAGCAGAACCACCCCAGCCCACACACAGACCCACGAGCACAGGAAACAATGTCTCCGTAAGCCACTGGCATTTGGGGGCTGTGTGGCATGCAGCATCAGCTAGCAGCAACGGCTGATAAAACAGCACGCCTTGGGCCGGCCCAGTGGCGCACTGCTACAGTGCGCCGCTTGGGGAGCGCGGCGGCACTCCCGCCGAGGGTTCGGATCCCACATACAGACCGGTTCCCACTCACTGGCTGAGCGAGATGCGGGCACGACACTGAGGGTTGCGATCCGTTGCCGGACACGAAAAAAAAAAGACAAAAAGGAAAAAAAAAAACAGCACGCCTTCTCCGTCTTCCCTGGTGCTCTGTGCTTCTCCCATCGCAACACCATGCTTTGCTGCCGTCAACCTGTGTGTCTCCCCACAATACTCTGAGCTTCATGAGAGTAAAGGCCATATCTTATTATCTCTGTATCCCTGGCACCGTCTGACATGGTGCAAGCACAGAGTGTGTGCTCAGTGAATGAACATCTGTTGGATGGGTGGATGGAGGGACGGATGGATGGATGGATGGATGAAAAGAAGAAAGGGAGAGAGTGAGAGAGAAAGAGTGATGAATGGAGGGATGGTTGGATAGATGAATAAACAGAAGGAAGGAAGAAAAAAGGAAGGGAGGGATGGAGGAAGGAAGGAAGGAAAAAAGGAGAGAAACTGTATACACTAAGTATTTGGAAACCCACCCAAGCTGGGCCCAAAAGACCAATTCCAGGATTGAGAAGAGTCATTAGGAAGATATACTCCCTTTTCACTAGGGTTGGTAGGATGGTGGGATGCAAGCCTGGGACTCCTAGTGACCATCTTGCTACCATGAGGCCTATATGAAAATAAAGCTAATAAAGAGGAAAGAAAAGCCAAGAGCAGAAGAGATAGGGAGGAGAGCTCCTGGATCCAGCCGTGCCTGAAAACCACTTATCCCAAGAAATTTTAGTTCTTAGAGACTGTATCTTAAACCTGTGTAAATTGGGTTTCTGTCACTTGCTACCATCATGAGGCCTGAATTATAAGAGGGCTAGAAGAGGACATATGAGGTGACCATCTCAGACTGTGACCTTGTTGAGGCTAGACTTTTAAGAGGAAGTCAAGCCCTAGACATCTGGACATCTACTGCTGCTCCAGCCAACTCCTCCTCCCCCACCCCTAGCCCTGAGGACCCCCACAAAGCAGAAAAGGGTGGGATCACCTGAAGAGCACACCAGGTGTCTGCATCCCCTCTTGGCCATCTGGGAAGAGAAGGAATGGGGTTGGGGGCTAACCCACACGGGTGTCATGGAGACCCATGCGGGATAGAGTTAGACTCTCCCTATCCCACTCCCAACACTCCTCGCCCCTCGTCCTGCCCACAGCCCTCCCCTCACCCCTCCCCTCCCTCCTGCACAACCTCACTTCTCCCCTCATGCCCACACATCCTCACCTCCTGGCAGAAATGCCCGATGCCCCGGATCTTGAAGGAGCCGGCTGGCTGCACATTCTCACATTTGAGGAAGACAGTTGTGCCCGCCACCTGGGACAGTGCCCAGCTCTCCAGCAGAGGCGTGACCACGTGGAAGTGCTCGCCCTTGGCACACCCCACCAGAGATCCCTCCATCTCAGCAACCACGTAAAGAGACTGCAGGAGGACATGAAGGTCATAGCCCAGGCAGCTCCAGTCAAGAGTCCCCTTAATCAGGACGGAGGGGGAAGGCAGAGATGGCCCTCAGCTTAGCACCTTCAGCCCTGTTCACTCGCCGAGCTCTGAGACTCCAGGTAAGTATCTGCCCCTCTCTGGGCCCTCAGTTTCCCTGTCTGGGCAAGGAGGTTTGGACTGGGGGCCCTTTCGTTCTGTAATTGTGCCTGCCCACAATGCTAGGGATGTAGAATGTGACTAATACATGGTGAGGAATGAATGAGACAGTGGGAGAATTCACTCATTCAATCCAAAAAAATGTTTATTGAGCAGCTACTATGTGCCAGGCAGTTTCAGGTTTGGGGGCTCAGGAACAAACAAGTAGAGGAGGCCTCCCTCTTTGCTAGAGCTCACATTCTAGTCAAAGAGACAGAATCAGAATTTCAAATAGGAGTGACTTGGAGAGGGGCGTTATTTTAGCAAGGGCAGTCAGGAAAGACACCTCTCAGGAGTGAAACTTTTTTTTTTTTTTAAAGATGGCCGGTAAGGGGATCTTAACCCTTGACTTGGTGTTGTCAGCACCACGCTCACCCAGTGAGCTAACCGGCCATCCCTATATGGGATCCGAACCCGGGGCCTTGGTGTTATCAGCACCGCACTCTCCCGAGTGAGCCACGGGCCAGCCCCATGGAGTGAAACTTTTTAAAGCTTTCATTATGAGAAATGTAAACAGCTAAGTTATTGAGAACTGTGTAATGACCCCCTGTGCAGCCATCATTTGGCTTCAGCAATTGTCACCTCGTGGTCTCTCTTGCTTCAACCATATCAAGTGTCCACTCCCACTCCTGTGTTATTTTTCCCCTTTAGTATCGTTATATTTTCCTCATATAAGCTTTTTTTGCCCCTGCCTTTGTGGATTTTTTTTTTTTTTTTTGGCGGTTGGCCGGTAGAGGGATCCAAACCCTTGACCTTGGTGTTATAACACCGTGCTTTAACCAACTGAGCTAACCAGCCAGCTCAATTTTTTTCTCATTGTACATGTTTACAGGTACAGTTTGTTGTTTCACTACATGTGTATACTGTGTAATGATCCAATCAGAATAGTTAGCATATCTGTTACTTAAACATTTATCATTTCTTTGTGGTTAGAACATTCAAGATCCTCTTTTCTGGCTATCTTGAAATATACAATACAATATTATCAGCTATCGCCACCCTAGTTTATTATTTCATTTGTGTATATTTCAGCATGGATCTCTCAAGGTGAAGAACACTTTTTTTTTAACTGTAGCACATGGTTTCACAACTGTATAAAAATTAATTTTTACATAAAGTAAATGATGCCAATTTTAGCAAATGTAATCACAATACCATTATCACACCTAAAAATATTAACAATTATTGATATCATCAAATATCTGGCAATTGTTCAAATCTCCAATCATTTCATTAAATGTGATCAATGGTTGGTTTTGTGGTAGGCGGTGGTTTGAGATTTTTAACAGTTTGAATCGGGATGCAAATGGGATCCGTGCGTTTTGATGACTAGTCGGGAGGGCTTTTAACTCCCTTTTGATCTGTGAGCTCCCAAAAGTGCAACTTTGAGATGAAGGAAAAGAAGGGAAACAGCGGGAAAGCATTCCTGGAGAGGCGACAGCGAGTGGAACCGCCTCGAGGGAGAAGTGGACGTGGGGTGCTGCCGGTGCGGACAGAAGGGCTGGGGCGGCCGGGGACGAAGGAGAGGTGGCGGGACGCATGGCGGGTCGTTCTAGCCCACGACGAGCGGTTCGGTCGTTACTCTAATCGTACTTGCGTTGGGAGGTTTTGAGCCAAGGAGAGGTGAATGAGGGAGTGAACGGGCCAGCGGGTAAGGATGAGAAGAAGGGAAGGAGGAAGGGAGAGGGAGAAAGAACGAGAGGAAGAAAAGGAGGCAACACAGGCCCTCGCTCGTTTCTCTCTGGGGCAGAAAAGCGTTGATCCGGCCCCCCGCAGTTCCACTGTTGGCCACTAGGAGGAGCGCTGCAACCTCCCCCACGCACCCACAAACCTAAACTTTGTGTCTACCCTTTAGTGAGGGCTGGGGTTCCCAGATCAGAGAGGTCCGGGTTTCCTGCCCCCTTTTGGGATGGTCCCGGGACTCCCCAGGCAGAAAAATACCAGAGCCACCTCTACCTAGTCCTATTTAGGGTATCTCTCAGGCTGGGCATTGAGGGAAAGGGGGCCTTGGGTCACCACTAGTCCCAAAATCCATCATACACTAGCCTGGGCCTCACCTCAACCCTGGAGCGGAAGAGCATGGGCTTTGGGGTCAACCAAAGACCAAAGTTAGAAACCAGCTCTTACTTCCTGGCTGTGTGACCCAAACAAGTGTCTGTGTGACCCAAACAAGTGTCTCAACCTCTCTGTTCCTGTTTCTTCTTTTATAAAATGGAGATAATTACAATCACCAACTCACAGGTTGTGGTGTGGATTAATAATAATAGCAGCTACCATTTGCCGAATCCCTGTTAGGTGCCAGACATCGGCTGAGTCCTCTGAGAATGTTATCTCATTGGAGGCTTCTAATTAATGCTGACATGTTCGCCCTTACTCTGTCATGTTTATAGGACTCCTACAAGGCATAAGCCCTGACCTAGGAACTGGGATACCACTGTGAACAAGACAGAAATCTACCTTGCAGCCAGCTTACAGTCTGATGAAGAGATCAACATTCAACAAGTAACTGTATAGACAAACAAAATAATCAGAAATGGTGAAAAGTGCTAAGAGGGAAAGACACACATAGGGAGTCTTAAAGAGAAAAACAAGGGGATCCACTTTGGGTATGGAGTCAGGAAAGGCCTCTTGGAAGAGGTGACCATTAAAACTAAGACCTTAAAAATAAGAACAAAATAACCACACAGCAAACTGGGAGAAGAGCTTGTGCATCCCAGGATTGTGAGAGGATTAAGCGGGCCATGTAGCAAAGGCACTGACTCTATGACTGACACATTACAATAACAGCTAGTAGTGTGTGGACTTACTGTGAGCCAGGCACTGTGCCAAGCACCTACATATTAACTCATATAATCCTCACAACTCTGAAATAGGTGCTATTATTAACTTCATTTTAAAGACAAGGAAACAAAGGTCCAGAGAGATTTAGTAACTTATCCATGTTCCCACAGCTAGAAATGGTACAGCCAAAATTCAAACCCAGGCAGTGTGCTTTTGCATCTGTGTTCTTAACCACTATGCTGTAGTTTCTCCATTATATTAGCATTAGCATTAGCATTATTATTAAAGATGTAGGCATTTACTTCTTAACTGCCAATTGCCTTTAGGAGCCAAATGCTTTTGGCTCAGTCCCAGGCTTCCCCAGCCCTCTCAGTTATACCAACCCCCACAAGAGGACAGCAGGCATCAGTTAAATGAACAGGCCCCAAGGACAGCAGGCATAGTTAAATTAACAAGCTTCAAGTTGCCAATAGCCTTATCAAGCCCAGAATCCATCAGGAGCACAAGCCTCCCAGACTGAGATCTGGGGCTGAGCTGGGGCCTTGGCCCAGGGACACAGCTCTTGCACAGTGTAGTAGCCACTGGGGCTGATGTGGGAGCTCTGGGTCTTCCCTACCATGGAACAATTACAGTGAGAAGCATGGCACTTGGGCCCATGCCACAGCCATGTGTGACCTTGGCTGAGTCGCTTTTCCTCACTGGACCTCACTGCCCTGTTTGTGAGTTGGATTAAGGGCCACCTACCCTTTCTACCTCCCTTGTCCCTAGGCCTTTCCCCAGAGGCCACCTGGATAGCACTGCATAACCAAATCCCTGGTGCCAGGGCTGGAAACCTCAGGTCAGCCCTTGCCTGGCAGAATGCCCGGTGCTGCCCCGCTGGCCAGCAGGACAGGGTCCCTGCACCCTGCCTTCTTATGCAGGGCACCGTAGGTTGAACCAATGTTGCTGGGAGACTTTACATCTCTCACTTCCATCCACTCAGCCTGGACATTTCCCCAGAGCCCCCAGACTACCAAGTACTCACATTCACACATACACCCCCGGCAGGCCCAAGTGGTCCCGGCTGGGCCCCAGACCCCTTACCTCTCTGCCGGACAGTTCTCAGACCAGCTTAGCCCTGGCTTGCTGCCCACCAGTCTGCCTGGACACCAGCTCTGCCCAGCTTCCGGCAGCCTCCTGTGACCTCAGATCCTCCTCCCGTGTTAAAGGGATAGTTCCCGACTCTAAGGCTCGGGGAAGAGGACAGGGGATGAGAGCAACCTTCACTGCCTCCCCCTGCGCTGCTCATGACTCATTACCTCGTCCCATTTGACAAGTGAGGAAACTGAGGATCAGAGAGGGGAACTCACTCGGCCAAGGCACCCAGCCAGCAAGGAGCAGAGACACCCTTTACCTTTCACCACCGACCATCTCTTTTGTGATACAGATATCTCCAAATCTTTCTACTCTAGGTCAAGTGCTCATCTGGGACACTAAGCCCCTTCTCCCAAACCACTATTGGGGTCAGCTTAGATCTGAGATGGGAAAACAAGGACAAGGAAACAATTATCCTCTGTCATATGAGAAAGGCACTTTTTTTTTCTGAAGCACCTCTCCATCTCTGATATTTTACAACTAGCATAGAAACCCAAACAATTATTTATTGTTCAAATGAATGACTGATCATTCATTCATTCAATAAATAAATATCTATTGGATACCTACTATGTGCCAGTCCCTGTGACCTTTAGCCTCAAACAAGATAGCACCTCCCCTGCCTTTGCAAAGCCCTCAAGGCCATTAAAGAGCAATTAAAATCAATGCTATCAGATTTTGGCAGCTGGGAAGTGGGGCAGGGCTGTGAGAGCCCAGAGCAGGTACCTCACCTGGCCCTGGGGGGCTGAGAAGGCTTCCTGGAGGAGGGGAAATGTGAGCTGAGCCAGGAATCAAGCACGTGGAGTACAAAAATATGGAATTGGAAATGTGGTGTTTTCCAGGGATGGAGAATTATCCATTGGGGTGCTACAGAAAAGGCAGGGGTGGTCAGGTTTGGAGCAGGCAAAATGGCAGGGGCCAGAGTCCACAGGGATGCATGGGCCAATCCAGAGTCTGGACCTTACCCAGGGCAGTAGGGAGCAGGGGAATGACATAATCAGATTCACGCCTCGTCTGTGCCAACATCTCATTGGGTGAACCTGAGCCAGTCATGCCCAACTCTAGGTCTCAGGTTCCCTATTTGTAAAATGGGGGCTGAGGTTCAGGAAGGACCTGGCACCCAGATGTTCTGTGTCCTTCTTGGACTATGTGTGCCTTCCTCAGGTTTGATGGTCATCTCCCAGCCACTTGGGGTCAAGTTGAGCTGCTTGGCAGTGATCCTTGATGGGGACTCTGGCTTGGAGTGGAGGGGAAGAAATCCAATCCAGTGACAACTCTAACATCCACTAGGAGGCCAGAGGGCAGAAGGTCACCATAGGACAGCTAGGGGTAGGATGGGATGAGGGAGGGCTTCCTGGAAGAGGCAGAGCCTTAGCTCACAACTCAAGCTTAGACAAGAAGTACAACAGCTGCATTTACTGCATGCCTACTGTATATCAGCTCTTTCGTGCTGACCAGCAGATCCCAAAGGTCTTTTAATAACTGGGCATTTATTTCCGTGCGCATCAGGAAATGCATGCACATTTATGTATGCATATGGAGGTATATGTGTGTGTATATATATATATGTGTGTGTGTGTGTATATGTGTGTATATATATAATACCAAACCTATAAACTTCATGAATATTATGAAATAATATTATAATATAATACAATATTATAATATTGTATCCATAATATTTCATAATTAGGAAGAAACCAGGGCAGGTATCAAAGTTTAAAACTGGAGTCTCTTTAAAGAAAAATGCTAAGTAGTAGTAGTAACAGTAATAGCATGAGGGGTTTCTGGTGTGGAGAGGCAGTATGCCTTCTAGTTAGACCACAGACCCTGGAGCCAGGCTCTGCTGCACACACTAGCTCTGCCACTTCCTAGCTGTGAGGCCTTGGGTAAGTCATCGAACCTCTCTGTTCCTTATTTCCTAGACTGTAAGATGGGGCTACGGTTACTTAAAACAGGGGCTGGCCAGTTAGCTCAGTTAGGGAGCAGTGTTATAACACCAAGGTCGAGGGTTTGGATCCTCATACTGGCCAGCTGCAAAAAAAGAAGAAAAAGATAGGGATTAAATACTACTTCTCTAGGGCCAGCCCGTAGCTCACTTGGGAGAGTGTGGTGCTGATAACACCAAGGCCATGGGTTCAGATCCCTATATAGGGATGGCTGTTTAGCTCACTTAGGAGAGCGTGGTGCTGACAACACCAAGTCAAGGGTTAAGATCCCCTTACCGGTCATCTTCAAAAATAAATAAATAAATACTACTTGCCTAGAATAGTTGACATGAGGGTCAAATGAGTTCGCGTATGTGAAGCACTTAGAACAGTAGCTAGTGCCCTGTGTTTGCTGAACTGTTATTATTACTATTATAAAAGGTGTGTGTGCTGGCCGGGTAGCACGATTGGTTAGAGCGCACTGTCATTACACCAAGGTCAAGGGTTCAGATCCCAATACCGGCCAGCCGCCAAAAAAGAATGTGTGAAAGAGATGACACAATAATACCTCAATAATTGCAAAGGTGGCACATGAATGTCTGAAGTTTGGGAACATGACGTCATCATGTCACAGAATGCTTACCACTCCCTGGAAAAGTAAGCATTATAATGAACCCTACATTGTGGAAAAAGGCTGAGAGAGGCCAAGTCACTTTCCCAAGGTCGCAGAGCCAGGTCTCACAGACCCGGTGGGGCCCGGCTCTAGAGCTCCAGGCTTGGGTGGGAAAGAGGATGAGGTGGGGGAGACAAGGTGGCTCCATCAGAGAGCAGAGGAGGCTGGAGAGGTGAGGCCAGGTCACTGATCACCCCCTCTCCCCCTGCCAGCCCTATTTGTCAGCCAGCCCCTGTCCCTGACATGTCAGGCTGCCAAACACCCACCCTGGCCAGTCCCGTGGGTTATTCATTAAGCTTCATTTCACCATCCTCACCTCCAGCTGGCCTTCCTGTTCCCAAGGCAAGAGAATTGCGTGGAGGGGAGGGACAGAGCCTCTGACACCTGTGATTCACGGGTTTAATGCTGGACTCTGCGTCATATGCTTCCAAGCCATGTAGGCTAATTCCATTAAATGATGGGAGAAGGGGGCTTGGTCAATCAAGCAACCAGCACAGCTAGTGAGTAAAAACCTAGCTGGGATTTGGACCCAGGTCTTCCAACACCCAATACAATATAGCATCTTAGCCAAGTTCTCAGGCTCTTCACCCCTTGCCAAGATGATAAATCATTCCAGACCAGAGAGAGTCTCAAACTGGGGAGCTGCTTTCCCACTGGCTGGAGCTGAGCTGCACTGTCCTCTGCAGAGGGGCACAGCTCTACATTTATCACTGTCCTTACTCCTCTCTGTTGCGTCCCCAGCACCTAACAGACCCTTGCTTGGTGCTTTGTAAGTATTGGAGTTTGAGACCCTTGTACAGAGGAACTCTCCCTCTCCCCTCTTGCTCCTGAAAAGGAAGGGAATCAGTTATCAAGGGAGAAGCGGAGGCACAGGAAGGTTAACCGACTTGCCCTGGGTTGTCCAGCTAATAGGCCACAGGACCAACTTTCAAGTAACCCCAAATC